GTAACCTTTGTGGTCTTCGCAGGCACCTCTTGTCACCAATATCACCGATGCTTCACAAGGATGGAGCTGTGTGATGACTATGTCAGGCTGTTTGTGATGCTTATTCCCAGGAACTTAAAACTGTTCGCTTGCTCCCACTCTGCTCCATGTTGGTGTTTAATATTGCTTGAATGAAGTTTCAAGTTACTGAAGTCATTTAGATTCCTCTCTCCTAGAGTGTTGATGTCAGTATGTTGCATTGTAGTTTTCTCTTTCGTGTCTGAGCAGTGGTGCACATCGATAAAATCAGAAAACCATCAGAAACATCCCTGTTATATTCACACGGACGAGCTGATTTCTATCAGAAATAGCCAGAGAGGGTTTGACCTCTGACCTCTGACCTGTGTGTATCAGACAGACAGTTCGGATCAGATCTTCAGATGCCATGTTTTCGAGTCGTGATGGTCCAGGGTTCTTTGACTGTGACTCGGCAAGTCAGGAAGCTTTTTTGTCACTGAGCCGGAAGAGTCAGCGATGAAGTCAACTTATGTAACAGCGAGTTTTATGAAAAAAGTGATCGGCTTCAGACGGAGAGACGAACGCAGCTCTGCGACAACGTGGAAGTCTGTTGTCGCAGCAATGCGTCACCTCTGACCTTTGACCTTCTTCTTGTTGATTAAATCTGCTGAATTTGAATCTTATTCTTAGTTCGAAAGAACAATGTCAACTCCAGGTCAACTTGTTGGTTTGTTCCAGAGCTTTCACTCGCTCAACCGCAGGTGGAGTTTACACCATTGTCGTGGAGACAGAGGTGTTCAGACTTTTAGTATTGGTAGTCCACATTGAGCTTGAAAGTTTGGTTTGATTGAAAGGCTTCACATTCAGTCTGAACAGTCGAAGGAGGCCATGTTGTCTGCTGTCTTTGTTTTGTGTGTCCCAGTGTGTCTGTTTCCAGGTGTTTCCAGCTGCTGGGGAGTTTTACCACACATGTTTTAATAGCAGTGTAAAGCCGCTGGTGTCTGGAGCTGTGTGAAGTTGAATAAAGTGACTTTAGATTTGTCGAGATAAAGACGCAAACAAGCCGTCGACCTCCAGAAGTCACAGAGACAGCAGCAGCATTTTTCATCAACAGAAACAATATGGCCCTGTGTTTGCAGACTGGAAGTGTGAGCGCAGACTCACTCTGTGATGACATGACCGTTTGTTGTGCTGAATGAAGCCGGTTGAATGTGTGGTAAAAGCTTCATCTAACATCCGCCCATCTCCTCCTCCTCCTCCTCCTCCTCTGTTTACCCACAAGTCTTCATATCACAATGATCGTACGAACAGTACACTTTTCTTATTTTGTCAATTTCTGCCACAAATTGTTATTAGTTCAGGTTTTTGGAGGATAAGATGATGGTGAATCATGATCAGGTTTCTCTTATTATTAACAAATCACATAAAAAGACCCGAACCAACAACATGTCAGTCCATCTGTCAAATCTTCCTGACTTCCTGTCTGTGGCTCTCAGCTCCAAGCTCGTTGGGTCCTACTCTGGACGTAAATCTTTACAAACACAAATACATAGTTTCGTTTTTATAAAGTAATCAGTCATTTCCTAAAACAGTCACTGTAGCTTTTAGAAATAGTGCATTTGTTGGGGACTATTTTCAGCAGCGGATTTGAGTCAAAAGAAACTACAGTGTGTGTGTTGATGGTGATGAAGGAACAAGTCATGCAGTGCAGCAGTGAGGCTCATCGTTTTTAATGGAGCTCTATGACACAGAGGAAGAGGATGCATCAGGCTTTGATACACACACATTACTTGTTAGGAGAAACTTTCACTGCTGGCTTGGGTCTGCTTGAGCTGCAGCAGCAAGGAAACCATGTGTGACACGTTGTGGATGATACACTAAAGTCGTCTTCTGGCTTTCAGCATCAATCATAGTGATTCATTGTGGTCTGGCAGTATATAACTCAAATTGACTTGACTCGTTAGCTTAGCTTTTAGCATCCGGAGGGCAGCTACTGTTAGAGGAAATGCTTTTATTGTCTCAGGGCGTGTCTCCTCTCAGTCTGACTTACCAAATTAAATGATACTCTCATCTTAGTTATAACGTTATAAGTGTAAAAACATGGAGGCTATGTTACAGTTACAGACCGAAAATCTTTTAAAAACCCTGAAACTGAGACAAGAAGACGGCTCTGTTTTTAGAGAGCTCGATGTTTGACTGCATTCGCTCTCCACACGCCGACGCCATTTTCTCCTCCTCCTTTCTTTGCCTGGAGGATGCGGGTACCACGGTAACCAGCCGTTCCCCACAGGGTGAGAGAGAGAGAGAGATGCAGGCTGGGGAGGATGTGGGGTGGAGCAGGTGGTGGTGGGAGTGATCGACACTCCCTTTGTTCAGACACACAATATATTTCTAAAACGTGAGCATTTATTGTTGAGAGAGTTACAAATCTTAAAATCAGATTTTATGAAGAAAGAGAGCAGCGGAAAATACTAATAAATACATAATTAAAATCACACAACATATGATCAGACTCTACAGAGTGTCACCCATCTTTCTTGGTCAGTGGGTCTGTTTTAACAGCTGAGGTCAGGAAAAAAGACAGGAATCACCTTCAGCAGGAGGAATAAGAAGATGTATCAGGCCTGAAACGACAGACACATTATTGCTTATTATATTATATAATATTTACATCAGCATACATGCATATATAATTAGGCCTTTGTGCGGCTGTGGAAGACTGATCTGTGCATTCTGCTGACTCACAGTACTGATGATCATTAACCATGGAGGTGGATGTGTTTCAGTCAGGTGTGATGGAGGGATATCCAATAACAATATATCGGCTGATAATCACAGAGCATAAAGTACTTGATACAGATCCTTTTTAGATTACAGAGCCAGGATAGTGGCTTTAGAATTTGCCATCAAAAATAAAATTTGTCATTGAAAACAAGGCCTAAACTGAAAAAAGGAAACACTGGTATTGGAAGTTCTACTGAAAAATAACCGTTTGAATAGTTTTTGTGCTCTGATGTTTTTTTATGAGAATATTCAGATTTGTACTTCATGTCACTCTTTTTACCCACGACAGTGTTTCTTTTTACACTGATGGATAAGATTATTTAATCTTTCTTTTTGTGTTGTGACCCAGATACAAACTGAGCGTATAACATTTCACAGTGATGGAGACTCTAAATGAACTCATGATTTCTTGTTACTAAATGGCCAATTCTTAGACATTTCTGCAATAAGCAGATATTACACTGCAGATGGTTTGATGCTTTGTCGTTCTTTCTCTCTGATCTCTTCCTGTTTCATCTCTTCTGGTCGTGGTCGTCTCATATCGGGGTCACGCGCATCAGATTGGCTGTTGCCTTAGCAACTGCAGCCCATTAACGGGCCCCGCTAACGCTCGTTTAAAGTCTCCGTCTGATTCGTTATCCTCCCGGGAGCTCCCACATTTTCTTACCCAGCATGCTTTGCCAGCGACTGCAGCAGTGAGCGATCTGTGTGCGTGTGTGTGTGTGTGTACAAGATGACAAGAGAGGCAGTAAGAGACATCACTGGATGTAAATGTCACCATGGTGGGGGGATGTGGGCCTGGACCATGGTAACACAGAACATCAATATGTCAGAGCAGGATTTTGATGAAAAACATCGACATCACACACACACACACACACACACACACACAGATTCCTTATTCTGTACTTGCGAGGACCATCGTTGATGTCTGTGGTTCAAACGACAGTCTTTGGTTAATGCTTGTGACAGATGGTGGTTGATAATAACATTGTGTCTCAAGACACTGCACACTGTTTTTGTAGGAAACCAGTCTAGGATGTTTCACTGTCATGAACACAGAGCCGTGAGAGTGTGAACAGAACCAGAACACAGTGTCACAATGCTCCAGCCCACATTGTGTTGGAGGATCTGATAGTTTGGAGAAAAGCAAATGAAAATATGTTGTGGAGGACGTGTTATTTCTAGGAGACGGTAAATCATAATTTCTCTATGGCCTAATCAGGTCTGTTCAGTTTAATCAATATCAGTTTAAGTGTACGATATATATATTTTTTATTTTTCTAAATTATGTAAGATTGGTTTTACTTTTAGTTTTGTTTTCCTTCTAATGTTGAGGGAAGGTATCTGGATTCTGGAATTCTTATCTGGAAGTCTTAAGTGTGTGCAAATTAAATAAAATAAAATCCATCTATGCTCACTTCAAAGCCACACGACTCCATTAAGACAAAAATAATTGACAAGTTCCAGGACTCCATTGGATAATATTTATAATACGCGTAAACTTAAAATGATATGACATGGTAAAAAGACACAGAGGGTGGTGCACACAGTATCACAGCATCCCAGAACAGTAAGGTGAACGGGCTGTTTGATTCTTTTTTTACATATAGTGGCTTTAATTACTGTATTGACCACCTGGGCTGTCCGGTTGTCATACTATGACATGTTTGGTGTTTTGTTATCAGAACAGTAAAACGAGCTGACTCGTCACTCTGGCCAACAGGAAGCTAGTTAGAATCAGGTAAAGTGTTGTGTTTTCTGAGGGGATGATGTTTGTTGGTGTTTGGAGCCATATATATATATATATATATATAT